CACACACACACACACACACACACACACACACACACACACACACACACACACGATTTCACACAATTTCACACCCAGAGGCCACTCTACAAAGGCAAAGTGGACTTGAATGGAAGGACATTAAATTTACTTTATTTCTTGGTCTGATTACTGAAATTAGCTCATGGATGCCAGGCATATACTCAGCACTAAGCTACACCTCCAAATCTTACTTTTAGATAATTTAATTTGTTTGAAGGAAGAATAGAAATCCACTCTTTTCCAGACAGTATTTTTGTTGTTGTTCATTTCAATCTTTTTTATTTTCATTAAAAATAACTTAGTGAGAGCCGGGTGTTAGTGAGAGCCTTTAATACCAGCCCTCAGGAGGCAGAGGCAGGTGGATCTCTGTGAGTTTGAGGCCAGCCTGGTCTCCACAGCGAGTGCCAGGATAGGCTCCAAAGCTACACAGAGAAACCCTGTCTGGAAAAACCAAACCAAACCAAAACAAAACAAACCAAAACAAAACCTAGTAAAACAATGTAAGAGAGCAGTGGGCTAGGCAGTGGCCAGAGTATTTGCCTATTTGCCTATTTTATTTCCATCTATGAGTCACATTCTGTAATTTAAACACTAAATGGCATGATAGATAGTAAGTGTTCACACATTGGCTCTACCTTACTTTAAATATTCCTAATCTAACTAATTAACTGATAGTAGCTAAAATTATGCCGAGGGCCCTGGGGCAGAAGTCAGGAGAATCTACTAGAAACTCTAGAAAAATCATTTTATCTCCTTGAGCCTCAGTGGTCTTATTTTTAAAATGTTCCCTTTCAACTTCAGTGTGCTAGGGATCTGGTGATTTTTACTAATGGCTAAATTCTGCAACTCAGCAAACACAAAGTATTTTATACCTGCAATTCAGAATATATGCAAGACTGCTACGACCTCTGGTCTAAAAGGAGCTGATAATCCAGCTGAAGGGACATGTAAATCAGTAATACTAAAAGATAGTGTTATTGTAACAGAAGAATAAAGACATTGTGGATGTCCTGGTTGCAAAACGAACAACTTACTCTGCCTGAGTCACATCTTAACAGATGAACTTGAGGCTGATCATGGCAGGGGTTTGCCTGGGAGCAAGGATAGGCAAACGATGTGCAGGCAAAGCAAATATCAGTATTGAAAAGAGAGGGACTGTAAGGGCAGGAAAAGTTGATAGATCAAAGGGAAATTTAATGCAGCTGAGGGGCAGGTTAGGGGCAGAAAGAAGTGGCACATAGACAGAGGGGGAGCACATTACAAAGGCCTGCACGAGCTGGAGGAAGCCCTGGTCCTTGCAGGACTATACAGTTTTCTTTGTTTTTAAAGGATGGAAATAGAAAAGTTCTTTTAAGAGACCAAAAGATGGAACTGACCTAATAAAAGCCTATGGAGAAGATCTATTTTCAGATGTTATTTCTCAAATGAAATTAAAGTTTAAAGTTGGAGCATGCTTTATACAGAGAGTAGATATAGGTACAGAGAAATGAAAGTCGTCTCTGAAGTTTCTACAGAAAAATAACTAAAAATAAAAGTTGAGGATACAGAGCTTCCTCACCAACCTCTCCTTTAGCCTCTCTTCCAAACAGCAGTTAATGTGTATTTCATAGTTTATTAAAAAAATAAGTAAGTGATCCCACCAAAAACCCATCCCACACCCTCTCATTCTTGAACTCTCATCCCTATCCCAGTCATCAATATGCAACAGCCTACCTTTCTCATCTGTCTCCTCAGCGTACAGTATGTGCTTACTTTCAATCCTTGGTTGCACCTAGCTCACTCTCACCCATGTTCACTGTTGATTCCTCCAGGATACTCTTAATGACTCATCTGATGGTGCAAGACTTGCCTAAAATCATGAGCATAAACTCTGAAGAAACTCGGTCTCATTTTGGTTCCTCTTTTGCACATTTTAACCTGTTTATTCCCAGTCTCACTGCAGCACCTCTTAAATGCTGATGATCCCCAAGGCCTGACCTTGGGACATGCATTTTCCTTTCTACATGTTCTCACTGGTAATATGCAGAATTTTATTTACCCCTAACAATTTCATCTACTTCTCTATTTCCATTACTGATTATAACCAAGTAACCCCCAAATATAAACCAGACACACAGAATCTAAAGTCCTTATGTGGTCCTGCACTGTGGACTTCTGTCTCACTGTTTAGATTCTTCCAGGTCTTCAACCATTCCTCCACCTCTTCCACCAGGCTTTTGTGCATAATGCTCCTTCTGTCTGAAACACATGCTAGCTCTTTCTGAAGGGTTCTTCCTTCCTTTTGGCTCAAGGTTCCAAAACATATCTTCATTGTGTCCATTTCTATCCCGTATCTAGTCTGCCTTATAGTTCAAACTGCTATCTATCCCCCTTCTCCTAGCATACTGATGACAGTTTCCAACCATACCTTCCAGCTCCCTGTCTCTTTATTCCTCCTATTCATCAGTATTGCCTGGAGAGTGTTTCTGAAATAGAAACAAAGCTTGGTCATAACCTGCTTAAAAATCTTTCTATGGCTCCTCATTGCAAGTAAAATAAAACCTTAACTCCTTTTTCTGGTCTATAGACATGGGAGACCCGACCAATTCAATGGATATCCATTTTACAATTACTTTGCTTAGCTACAAAGTTGTTATTAATGCTTTCTCTTCTCTCCAGAGGAAATGCTTCCTTCTATTCTGCTCTTTATATTTTTCAGGATTCAATTTAGATGCTAATTCCCTAGAGACTTCCTTGCAAACCTAAGTAGTCTACCATACCTTAGCAGAACTGGCATTAATCATAATCTACATTTATGTTAATTTTTATACAAGTATCATGTTTTCATTGATGGTTTTTTAATCATATGCTGTATAGTCACTGCTTATTAATGCTTGTTGAATTTCTGAAAAGGAAGACAATAAGGGGTGTTTATAAAGATGCAAAACAGTTCAGTTTCAAACATGTAAAACAGCCATTCCTACGAACTAGAAGTAGGAGATACTAAACCTCAGGGCAAGATTTGGGACTATAGATAGGAACTGCAATCATCTGAAACAGGTCAGTTAAAGCGAATGCCAATATGCACTGTCAAGATAATAAAGCTGAGAATATCAAAAAAAAAAATGGGTAGAGGCTGCATCAGCAATGCAGGATAACAACTTAGAAAAAACAGGCAAGACAGAAATATAGTAGCTGAGGTTCTAGAAAAGAACAATTAGATATGAGTCGTCAGCTGTGACAAATGCTAAAAACATAAAATGCTGGATCAAGCATGCCACTGCAAGTACTACAAAAGGAAATGGAGCTAGCAAGAGAGCCAGACTTTAAATGACAGAAGGAGAAACAGCAAAAGCAAGCTATTTGTTGCACAAGTTTCACAGAATGAAAAAAGGATGGTGGCATGAAGAATTATTTTGACAGGATGTTAGCTAAAAGAATGAATGGCATGAACTAAAAAATGACATATGCTTTAGTTCCAGTACTAGGGAGGCAGAGGCAGGTGAACTCTGAGCCTAACCTGGGTCTACTCAGTGAGTTCCAGGCAACCAGGGCTACATAGTTTGTTTCAAAACAAATAAGCAAATAAAATAAATAAATAAATGGGGCTGAGTCAATGACTGGTATGGGGAAAAAAAAAAATCCAAGACCTGTAAGTCTTATAAGAGAGCCGAGAAGGTGCAGCATGGCAACAGTGATTGCCAACCAGGCAGAGGTTCTCAAATGAGTACCTAGCCCCACAGGCTTTTTACAGTACTAGAGACTGGTGGAAGGGACCCACCTGAAGTTATAAAACTTTTCCCAATTTATCCTGACATAATTTCCCACAGCCCTGCTAATATATGCTTTCATGCCGAGTTCCTTAATTTTTAAGAGTATAAAACAGGATCCCGAGCTCAGAAAACATGAAAGCTAGTGACCTAAGAGACACAAATTTTAGTAGATTGCTAAATAACAACAGCAAAAAAAAAAAAAAAAAAAGTGAAGTCACTGACTGGAGTCAAGGGACTGAACAAAGGTGAAAACTAAGGAACTCTCTGGATGCTAATTCTGAAAAGCACAAGGACAGCTGATGAGGATAAAGAGTAGAATCAGTGAGGACTCCGGTATGGTGTAAATAGTCTGTGCTGATGCCAGACACAGGTTTATCCAGCACACAACACACTGGAAGTAGTTAAGATGGATGGAAAAAAAAAAAATTAAACTTAATAAGGAAAGTGGAAACTAAGAGGGCTGATTGTCACATTAAGACAACCAAATTTCATGTTCAAGCTAGGAAAGAGAAGTGAAGCCAAGAAAGAATCTGTGCCAAGAGTCAGTGGCCATACCATTCAGAATCCACCAGTCCCTACACCTTCTCTTCTGCTAAGCAGGGGCGGGCCTTGTCAGTACTTGGATAGAGAGGTGACAAGAGACTTCCACTGTTTGTCCAAGAAGAATAAGGAAGGAGCTCTGGACACATGCACATCTAACCAACTGGATAAGCAAGGTCTCTAAAGTCTTATTAACCAGTGTAAAACCAAGGTCACAGACTTGGTTAGATTACTATAAGCCAGATGGTCTAGGCTAAGTCAAATAGCTGAAGGGAGTATATTTTCCTTAGCTAATCATGGGAGATAAATGTTTATCCTCTGCTATCTTACGAAGTCATAGTAAAGGTAAAATAAGGTTTCAAAAAACCTGTACAACATGACACCATAGTATAGATATTTCAAATCTTTGAATTAAAGAAACTCCACTATACTTAGATATCAAGTAATTAACCTCATGTGTTTGCAAATTGTGATCTTTAAATTGCCTATTAGGTGAATTATAATTTAGTTGTGTACAGAAAGGAAAACTTTATATATTTGGTTGAGAGCCTAGCCTTTAATGGCTGAGCCATCTCTCCAGCCCAGGAAAGCCTAAGTTCAAACTTTGACCCAAACGAATTATCTATTTGTGTGTGTGTGTGTGTGTGTGTGTGTGTGTGTGTGTGTGTGTGTGTGTGGCTGTGAGAGGACAACTTGCAGAAGCTGGCTCTCTCCTTCAAGCATATAGGTTCTGAGGATCAAACTCAGGTGATCAGGCTTGGTGGCAAGTACCTTTCCTAACTGAGCTATCTTGTTATCCCATTATATATTTTTAAATGATCCCTTACTTTTCATAAGTTAAAAATCTTATTTTCCATATTATTTAATAAAGACTGTCCCTTATTCCTGAAAATCCCCAAAATAATTTTAATCAAATACAGTCCTGCCACATCACAAAAAGATAAAATCCACGTTGAGCTGCTCTAGACAGTATCTCTTTTTCCAGCACACCTTCAGGTGAAACAATAAAACACAGTGAAGTCTGAAGGAAGGGACAGAGTGGTTCCTGAGCCCCTGAGATCTAAACTGAGGTCAGGGAGAAACGCAGTCCAAATGCTTTGGAAAGCTGTGCCTACACTACCCATGAGGAACACTGAGAACAAGAAAAGGCACTGGCCCTTTGCAGGGAGTCTGCCAAACACTGGGTTACAAAATAAACACTGAAAATTGAACTCCTAGTTTGTCAAAAGTTCCCATGATCAATACTACTTCTGTCGGACAGAGAAGATGCCAATTTGGGTTCTGCTGGGACATGGTCTATCTGCCAGATTCCTGCTGTCTCAATGCTACTATCCTGATCAGCACCACCTCTCCTCCTGGACTACAGGGACCATATGATCTTAGTCACTGTCTCCCCACTGTCTCCTCTCAGCCACAGCAATCAAATCCACCTTCTAAATACAGAACCTGTATCTCCTTGCTCCAAAAACTTCCATTGACTCCCGATTCATTCAGAATGAGGACCAATATCCTTATATTGGCTAGAAAGCCTTATATGACTACATTACTTTTAGAGTGTTTATTCCCCTCCCCTTCACACTGGCCCTCTCCAGCCCCAATGAGCTCCTTTCTGTTCCCTGATTAACTGTCTGAGAACGCTTGGCAGTAAGACTTCTACAGAAGTAGTGCCTCTATCTGGAACACTTTTTTCAGATGCCTGCACAACTGGCTCCAAGGACTCCCAAGTGTTTCCAGGACTCTGTCCCTTCACCTAATAACCACAGCAGGAGCTTGAAGCTTGCTCTCCTATCTCAGGCTTAAGCTGCAAGGGCTAGAGGGACACCAGTGTGGTTTATAGGAAGAAAGAAGTAAGTGGTGCTAATGAACTAAAAAAGTGAAAAAAAAAATGTTGACCCCAACTAGGAACCTAAGCAATAGTGGAGAGGCTACCTTAAAATGCCCTCCCCCTATAATGAGACTGATGACAACCTTAAATGCCATCCTAGAGCCTTTATTCAGTAGTTGATGGAAGCAGAAGCAGACATCCACAGCTAAGCACTGAGCCAAACTCCTGGAATACAGTTTCAGAGAGGGAGGAGTGAAGGGGTCAAGGCCATGCTGGGAAAACCCACAGAAACAGCTGACCTGAGGAAGTGGGAACTCATGGACCCCAGTCTGACAGCTGGAGAACCAACATAGGACCAAACCAGGCCCCCTTAACATGGGTGTCAGCTAGGAAGACTGGGCAGTCTATCAGGCCTCTGGCAGAGGAACCAGAATGTATGCCTAGTGTATGAACCCAGGAGTGCCTAGGCCCTGCCCCAAATGACTTGAAAACTTTGATGATCCTTCATGGAAGGCCTCACCCTCCAGGATGTGGGATGGCATGGGGGCATGGTGAGGGGCATGGAAGGATGGGAGGGAGAGGGAACTGGGATTGATGTGTAAAATAAGATTGTTTGTAATTTAAATAAAATATAATAAAAGAGGTAAGTAAATGAACAGGAAAAACTGAAATGAAAAGCAAATTGTCAAATTAAAAACAGCCAGCCTGGACTGGCAAGATATGGCATGTCTTTTATCCCAGCACTCAGGAGGTAAGGCAGGTGGATCTCAGTGAGATTGAGGCCAAACCAAGATACATGATGAGACCTTGTTTAAAAAAAACAAAATTAAATTCAAACCTTTTATCAAAAGACTTATTGCTTTTAACAAAACTGGAGAGAGGGCACAGTAGCTAAAAGCACTGATTGCTTGTGAAGTAGACCTGGGTTCAATTCCCAGCATCCATATGCAGGCTCACAGCCATCCATAATTTCAGTTCTGGGGAATCCAATGCTCTCTTCTGGCCTCTGTGGGCACAAGGCATGCATGTGGTGCACATGCATACTTGGTAGCAAGACATTCATACACATATACTTTTTAAGTAAAAAATAAAATAAATTGTTATACAAGGACTGCTCAAAAAATAACCCAACACGAATACTTCTCCAAGCGAAAGGGATTTCCAAAGAATTAACTAAAACTGGCATATGAACAAAAAATGAACAACTTTATACTACTCTAATGGTTTATTTTAACAAGCAAAGTAACTTGACTAATGTAGCTTCATAAATGGAATCTAAGTATAACTTTGTTATACAGTAACCATTTTACACCTGCATCTTATTTGCAGAAGACTGAGGTTGCAGCTGTCAATTCGATGCAGTTATCGACCACAAAATCCAGCCGCCTTGCTAATGCAGCAAGTCAGTGCCCTGCGCCTACTCCCATAATCCCCAATGACATTTAGCAATGGCTTCTAAGAGTAAGTAATTCTGAGCGTCATTAGACTGACCGAGGAAGTGTTGTGATCCACATTCCTTTTAAAATACAACAAACAATATCAGACACCATCTCACAACCAGGGATACTTGAGGCCAAAGTGAACAAGCTGTAGCGAGCGATACCGTGTTTCCATTCGGAGCACCACACCTAACCACAAAATTACAACATAAAATTGCTTTCTGGCCTTAGTCACTTGGATTGCTACCTAACTTCACCCCAATCCATCCGCTCTCCCCTCCCCCAACAAAAACCCAAACACTGACAACATAAAACTCACTTGGAGACTGGAGGTGTAAAGACCCTGACAGGTGGCACTCTAGGAGTCACACATTGCAGTCCAACTGGGCCCCTCACCCCTTAGGCAAATCAGCCCAGAGTGGCAGAGGCGCTTAGGCTCTTTGGTAAACACTCTCCTATCCAAGTTCTTCCCATTAAAATCCATTTAGAGCAGCGGTTCTCCACCCCCAGATGGGAGGGGGGTCGCACTTCAGACACCCTACATAGCAGGTATTTACATTACGATTCACAATAGGAGCAAAATTAGTTATGAAGTAGCAACGCAATAATTTTATGGTTGGGGACCACCACATCAGGAAGAACTATAATAAAAGGTCGCGCTTTAGGAAGGTTGAGAACCATGGGTACTAGAACCGAGCTCGGGGTATCCGACAGGTCAGAGCTGAGGCAACAGCAAGAGGCTAAAGCGAGGAACCTGAGGTGCAGGGGCTGGGCTACCGTAACCAAGTGTAACCAAGTCCGGGTATTAGAACTGAGTGCGGAGTCCCAAGGGGGCCGGAGCAGGGGTACAGGGATCGAGCTCTGATACTGCAAGAGTGCACCAAATGCCAGTACAGGGAAAGTGCCAGAAGCCGGGGGTCAGAGCTTGGAGTACGGGGACCAAGGGCCGGCACAGGGCAAGAGCGAAGATACGAGAGGGACTGCCGCTGGGGTACCAAGCCCGAGCACAGGGAAAGAGTACCGGGGGAAGAGGAGTCGAGGTACTGAGACCAAGCGGGGCTACTGGGACAGAACTCGAGCGCCCAAAGTGCCTAAAGCGGGGCTACTGGGACCAAGCACGGGGACTGGTAGAGAAGGGCACTGGGGCCAAACGCCAGGGACCCGAGGTGGTGGAGCGGGGGTCCTGGAACCGAGCGGGGCGTCCCCGCCCGACACCCAGAGCCCCGGCGGAGCGGCTGGAGCGGCGAGCGCTGTCCCGGTACCTTGCGTCCAGCGGCAGAAGATGGTGTCCGACAGCCCGGGGCTGCTCTTGGTGCCCCACACCAGCTCCAGCAGATCTTTGGTCACTTCGGACATGATGGGGACTGAGCAAGAGGGTCTTTGCTTCCCGGACTCCGGCCCCGGAACATAGGGAAGGGGAGACTCGAGAAAAGGACGGCGGAACGGCGGCGGCCGGGCGCGACCGGGAGGCCGAGCGAGGTGAGGGGAACACGCAGCCGGCGGAGACCTCGCCTGTCAAGCCGGCCGAAGCCGCAGCCTGGAGTTTCCCGTGCCGGAAGTGGCCGGATTTCCGACTTCCTTTAGCTCCGCCCCCCCCCTGAACATCGGGGAATCTCTTCCCGGGAAGCAGAAGTAGGTAGAGTTCGGGAGAGCTGGGAGTGTCTGGTCACCTTGGGAACTGTACAGATTGTGTGTGGTTGGACTGTTGACTTTTGCTCTTCCCTGCCAGGGGACTGAAATAGCCCCTCCCCTCCTGGGCTCTGCTCCACTTCTTATAGCAGGCTTTGACTCCCTCGCTCTACCACCTGGTCCTTAAATCTAGAATAATACACAAAACTAGAATTTTAAGATTATAGCTATGCCCTTGAGTTGGAAGTTCCCTTCCACTGTCCCTTGATAAACTATGTAAAATCCAACCAACTCATTACCTGGTTACACCTGCAAATGCATTCTTGTATTAAAAATAACTGCGGTGAAACACACATTACAGAGCTAGCAGGAGCTACACTGACCTAAAGCAACCTTTTTGCAAATGGCACAGAATTCATCTCTCATGTTTGAGACATGTGGGGCCCAGGACAGCTTGGGCACACTGCTGCCTGATGCCATGGCAGGCATAATAATAATAATAATAATAATAATAATAATAATAATAATAATAAATGCTAGAAAGGCTAGAGTTTCAGTTTACTGGCAGGCAGCACTGGGTTCCAGGAAAAGCCATAAACTGACACCACCCAGGGAGGGACAGCATCTAAGGGGGAGTACCCTATATTCCAAACATCCCAACCATTAGATATAATCACCAGATGTCCTTGAGCTGTGATAAAACACCATGACTAAGGCAACTTATAAATGAATGTGTTTAATTGGGCTTACACTTCCAGAGGGTTAGAGTCTGTGATGGTGGAGTGAAGAAATGACAAGCAGGAAGCAGAGGGCACACTGGGTATGACATTCATCTTTTGAAACTCCAAAGACCTCCCCCTGTAACACAGTTCTTCCAACAAGGCCATACTTCCTTATCCTTCACATATATTTTCACTAATTAGGTACTAAGTACTTAAACATAGGACCCTATGGGAGCCATTCTCATACAAACCACACACTACACTTAAATTAAATTCCACCACTCTGTCTCCCCTTCAAGCTCCTTCCATGGCCTCTTGACCTCTTCTCAAATTCATTACTTCATTGTTACATACTACACCTTAATGGGTCTATTTAGTGCTGTGCTTATATACACGTGTTTAGAGTTGACTACTTGGGGTTGGATAACTTGTCCTTGTAGAAAACTGATTCTCCCTCTCTCAAGAGGCATTGATTTGCCAATAGCTCTTCATGTAGGAGTGGGACCATGTGAAATGACCCAGTCCCCATTAGCATGTCAGCAGGTCATTATGCAGATCTTTTGTAGACAACCATATTGCTATGATTTCATGGGTGCAGCCTCCCCACTGTCTATAAAACCCTGTCCAGGAACAGGCAGCCAGATCTGTCTCTTACAATCTTGTGCCCTCCTTCTGTGATTTTCCCTGTGAGGAGTACAGGCCTAGTTGCAGCTGTATTATCTATTGTAGTTGAGCACTCTATGGTCACTTAGTATGTGTTTTGGGCAGCTGTGGGTCTGTGTAATAATTTCCATCTGTTGCAAACCAGCAGAAAAAGCTTCTTTGATGAGAGATACCTATGGGTATAAGGATAAGTATTTGAAATATAGAAATTATTTTAAGAAAATGGCAGTAATAGATTCTCTTCTAGAGTCTAAGACCTCTCCAACCATAGATAGTTGGATATGTTTACAATCCCAGGCATGAATTCCCTCCTATTTAGGGGTCCTTAAGTCTATTTCTTCATCTGTTGTTTAACTCAAGATGAAAGTGCCTTTATTGCGTCATTAAGGATATTTTGTCCAGCTAGTTAGTCATCATTGTGATTTGTAGGCTTTACAGGACTATTTATAGGACTATGCTTCTCCTCCTTGAAAACTTGCATAGTACCTTCTGATACTATTGTTGTGCCCAAATTCTGAACCCCCCAAATCACCAGGAGACCCATTCTGATGCAAAAGCAAAAAGTCTGCTAATGTTTAACAAGCTAACCCCATTAACTAGGGCCTTTTGTCAGTTCATTGCAGCTGATGGCTGGAGAAGGACCCCAAGAAACTGTGAAGCAGGGAACTTAAGGGGCAGCATAAGGGGAGTATCTTGGGGTATGCAACGGTCTCGGGATTGGTGAGCTTCTGGGCTTGGATGACCTGTCTTGTGTTGATTGGTCAACTGGTTGTTATGGCCAATAGGCCCTCCCAGGGCAGTTGCTACACTCTGCACATCGCTGTTGTGCCACTTTTACTGTAAAGCACTCCCAGAACTGTAAAGCACAACCAAAGTCCTGGGTATCTGACCAGGGCAGGCCCAGCAAGGTCAGACATGTGCTGAGTCAGAGGCCTGCATGTCTTTTCTGCAGTCTGTCATGGCTACTAAAGCAGGTTTTATTTTTTTCCGGTTTTTTTTTTTTGTGTTTGTGTGTGTGTTTGTGTGTGTGGGTGTGTGTGGGTGGGGGTGGGGGCTTTTTTTTCCTTCATTATGAGAGCTAGTCTTCAGGGAGGAGATTTCCAGGTAAGTTCCAGTTTGGTTCTTCTCAGTCCAGCATCTGAAGTGTGTGGTGTTTCAACAGTATGGTCTTTCAAGAGGTAAACTCAGAGCAATGCCAACAGACAATATTGTCTATGGAGTCTCTTGGACTCCCATGACCAACAAAGGAAGGTTTCCCATGCCTAGCATTGGGGGTTTTGTTAGGTAGTCTATTGCTCTTGAGCAATGATCACCCTGTGTGACATGCACATACACACACACACACACACACACACACACACACACATATAACTTGTAAAGCACTACTTATTTTTTTTCTAGCAGTTTTAGTGTGCTTTGAGACGAGGAAAATTTCTTGAACTGTGACTTTTCTGAATTTTCATCTATACTGAAGGAGGCAGATCTCAAGCAGATACTGATTAATGTCCTTGCCACTTCTTTTATACTGTACCTATTATTTTTGGTGTTTTACATTTTTAATTAGCAGTGCATATTTTAGCAAGTAATATTTAATTAATGTTAAATTATTTATTGGCTTATTTATTCTTTAATTACAACATTTAAATTGTGTACTTCTTTTACAATAGAAATACAAGTTTTTATTGATTCAAAATTTTCTTATTCAGTAATTTTATAATAATAAATATGCACTATGTCATGTCAAGGGAATTGCTGACTATAATTCCTTAACCCTGTTTAATTGCTTTCCTTTTCTTTCTCCCAAGTTTCTTTCAAATAAAAAAAAAAAAACACAGTTTCGCTGTCTGTTCCTAGTGACTATGAGAGCAATTTTCAATGGGAGTCCTAATCTCCTAAGTCAGTGCATTTCGTTACACTAAAATAAAGGGAATTTTTTCAAAAAAAATTTCCCTTTATTTTATTGCAGGGTAGCATGCAATTCATCCCCATGCCATTAATGAAGCTTACTCATATATTCTCTGCATTCCAGTAAAACCAGAAATCTTAACACAGTTAATGAATTTTACTTTGCATCATCCTAACTTCTGCTCACCTCAATTTTTATACTGAGTACATGAGACCCCTTTCGAATCCTCCATGGTCACATTCAAGTGTGGCATTATTATACCAGCATTTCCTACCAACCTGACTATATGGTGGGAAAAAATGTTACCATTAGCTTCTAACCAATAAATTTAAGCACATTGTTTAATTTCAATGTTCCAGAAATGGCAAGTATGCTCAGCATAAAAGGAAGGCATTAGAGTCACTATCTTTCTCTAACAGTTTATGTTCTGGAAAAAGACTGTCAGGGAATGAGTGGAATAAGAAAATCTAAATCTACCAGCTGTGGCACTGGTTATGTCAATTCACTGTCTTGTCCCTTGCTTTCTTCATCTGTAAATTAAGGACTACTTGTAAATAATTTCTTAAGTCCTTATTCACTCAATCAAGATCTCATAACTTATATTAATTCTAAAAATTGTCTGTCTTCAACTGAAAGCATATGGGAAAAGAATGTTGAGAAATAATGTGGGATAAATTGTTATGATACACAATAGTGAACACTGGGTATAAAAATAGAAACAGTGAAAATACCCTTCTTATACAACCTATTGATTTAGAAAAACAGCATAAAGGATAAAAGGCAAAATAAGAACTATTTCTTCATTTCAATTAGAAGAAATCAGAAAAATTCAAGCTGGAGAGAATTTTGACTAAAGAATGAGAAAGGGCTTCCAATATAGCCCTGCAGGAAAGCGGCTTGCCTGCAACCATGATGAACCCTGGGTCTCATGTAAAGGAGAAATCTGACTCCACATGTATGTTGTAGCATGCACACCTCTACACACACCATGTACTTATACAATAATATTTTAAAGGAAAAGCTATATATATGCATATATATACACATATACTTATAAAGAGAGTACATGTGGCTTTTAGGTATGAGATATTATTATGGAAAAATTCTGATTTTTCTGTAACTAGAAAGATACAAGTCAGGAACTGAACTGTTTTTCTGTGAACTCTACATGTTTAAAGCCTAACCACAAAGGCACTGGGAGATGAAACATTTCAGTACATAATTGAGGTTCAATGAGGTCGTAGAGTTGGGCCTTTATTCATTAAGGCAAGCATCTTATTTGCTGGAAGTAAACACCAGAATACATATATTCATTTACTTATTCTTTCTCTCTCCTTTTCCACTTCTTCATTCTCCTCTTTCTCCATTCACAGAGAGAAAGCCATGTAACTATATGATGCAGTCAGCCACCAATGATCCAAAAGGGAAGTCTCTAAGCCAGTGATCCTCAACCTCTGGATTGTGACCACTTTAGGGGTCAAATGACCCTTTTATAGGGGTCCTTAAGATCACCAGAAAGCACAGATATTTACATTATGTTTCATAAAAGTAGTAAATTACAGTTACAAAGTAGTAAGAAAAATAATTTTATAGTTGGGGGTCACCACAACATGAGTATTAACTGTATTAAAGGGTCACACCATTAGG